CTGCCACAATTTGATGACCCTGGTAAGCCTCCCCCCAGCTTGGGCTGTGACCCTGAAGGGCTGTACCCTACAAGTAGGGGTGAAATAAAAGCAAACTAGCTCTAAGCTTCAGGTCATCTGGGTAACCTGGTAAATTTCAAGCTCTAAACTTGAAATAAGGTGATCCTAGAATGCTGATTTGCCCCAGGTGCCTGGAGAGAGGGATTTTTAAAAAATCATCCCAGGCCTAAAATTATTTTTATAAATATTTTTCCAAACACAGTATTATTTTAGCACATAGTTGAAGATAACTAGATTTCATGAAAGGAAAAGACACCATGAATGGGAACAAGTGGAAATGAATCTCAAGGACTCCAGACATGGGAATTATCAGACACTGACTATAATATAATCCTGCTTCCTGTGTTCAAGGAGATAAAAAGCCATGCCTGAAAATTCTGCAAGGAGACTGGAAACCAGACAAAGCAACTGTGTCAGTCCTGTCCTGTCCTGAACACCATGGCATACTCTAGGTGGTTAGAGGGGAGTTTAACTAAGGGATGCTTTTATTTTTATTTTCATCTTTTTTCTGAGACAGGTTCTCATTCTGTCACCCAGGCTGGTGTGCAGTTGCATGATCTCGGCTCACTGCAACCTCTGACTCCCAGATTCAAGCCATTCTCATGGCTCAGCCTCTTGAGTAGCTGGGATTACAGGCATGAGCCACCAGTCCCAGCTAATTTTTGTATTTTTAGTAGAGACAGGTTTTACCATGTTGGCCAGGCTGGTCTCAAACTCCTGACCTCAGGTGATCTGCTTGCCTTGGCCTCCCAAAATGCTGGGATTACAGGCATGAGCCACTGAGCCTGACCAGATGCTTTTAACAGAATGAGAAGAGTACAGGAAAACTATAAGAGATACTCTAGAGCTAGTACCCTGCAGTAAGTAACAGTGGTGTGCTATTACTATCCCAAGGCCTGAAAGGGCAAGGAGAGGAAGTGGTTACTGGAACTAAGAAGAGTGGACCTAGGTGTAGAGTACCACCTGATAGAAATTATGATGTTCACTGAGGGGCACAATCAACCTGGATGACCACTCAGGATGGAAGCTGGGCAAATATACACCAAAACTTCATCCTTCTTCTTCCTTCCAATCTACTGCCGGTACTCCTCACAGGCCGAAATCAATCAGACGCTGAAAATAAGGAGCCATCAAAACAGGTCAACCTCCCAGCACACAGAAAAGGGCGAACAAGTAGCTATTCTGGAGGGACAAATAGAAGGCACGTGGCACAGTGAAGTCACATACTTGAAAAAGACCCAAACACAAATTCTGAAACTGGAAAATGTAATGATTAAAAAAAAAGAAAGAAAATGTCATGATTAAATTAATGATTCGGTGGTCAGGTTTAAGAGCAGATTCAGCCGGGCGCGGTGGCTCAAGCCTGTAATCCCAGCACTTTGGGAGGCTGAGGCGGGTGGATCACGAGGTCAAGAGATCGAGACCATCCTGGTCAACAAGGTGAAACCCCGCCTCTACTAAAAATACAAAAATTAGCTGGGCATGATGGTGCATGCCTGTAGTCCCAGCTACTCGGGAGGCTGAGGCCGGAGAATTGCTTGAACCCAGGAGGCGGAGGTTGCGGTGAGCCGAGATTGTGCCATTGCACTCCAGCCTGGGCAACAACAGCAAAACTCCGTCTCAAAAAAAAAAAAAAGAGCAGATTCAACATAGTCCAAGAGAGAATTAGTGAACTAGAAAATAGGTCACAAGAAACTATGTAAAATGAACAGAGAATAAAGCAAAATGAGAGAAGAGAGAGAACAGGGCAAAGTTAATATCCACAAATAGGTAGTTGGTAATTTTCCAGGACATTGAAAAAACATCAATCCACAGATTCCATAAGTCCAATGAATCTCAAGTCTACATTCATACCCATTATAGTGACCCTGCAGAGACAGAGAGGAGTTAAGGATGACGGTAAGGACAGTAGGCAAATGGAAGTTAATGGAGTTGCCCTTGACTGAGATGAGGAGACTGAGAGTAGGGCAAATTTGGGAAATTTGAGGAATTGTCCTCCTGGCCCCTGCAAGCCCTTGTGTTTGAGCTCCCTAGTCCCTGGATCTCTTCTACTGCTTCCACATCCATTCCCCACTCCCACTGACTTGGGCCTACTCCCCAACTCTTGTCAGGAGATTGTAGCAACCTCCTCCATGGCCTCCCACTCCAGTCCATTCTCCACATTGGCTGTCAGCGTTATGCTTCTAAAAATTGCAAATGGTTGGTGGTGTGATGTGGCCTCATTGTGGGTAACGTACTTTCCTACTCCTCTGGTTTCTATAAGGAAAGATTTCCCCTCAATACGCTGGGTTCCCCTCCAACCGGACCAGGTAAGATGGGTGAATTCTGAGTGGTGAGTGCAGGACTGGAGTCTGAGACTATGATGCTCAGCAGTTCCTTTCTTCTTCCTTTTAAGAGAAGATCACCCTTAGGGAGCTGCATTTTGCTCTCCCCTCCCCAAGAAAGCCTGTGTTTTTCCTTCGCTTTTTGTGCCTCCTGCCTGGGTCTTTCTGCCAAATTCTAAGGTTCACCATTAGGAAGCCCTCTGTAGACAGAAATCACATTTGTTCAGAGCATTGGCAGAAAAGAGAAACTATGTATTGGGTTCCCCAAAATCCCCAAACCAAAATATTGCAATACATCCTATGTTAAAATGCTTCAGGGCCCCTAGCTGCCTACCAAAGAAAGTTCACATTTTTAACACAGTCCTCGAAGTCTTTCCCATCCAGCCCCCACCTATCTACCTCTCCAGGCTGCATTCATTCTATTCTCTCTCCCACCACCTATGATATTTGAATCTTACCCGGTATATAGCCAGTCCCTTGAAGACTACTTATAAAAGATGGAGTCTTTTTCCAGCATTATGGAGAGGTCCAGGTGAGAAGGACTGAAGCCTCCAGCCAACAGCCACCTGAGTAAGCATCTGTCCTCCAACTTCAATCACCTGCAGAGCCTGTAGCCTTGACCACGCCAGAACCACCCAGCTCAGCTGCTCTTGGATTCTTGATCCACAGACATGGGGCATAATAAATGTATGCCATGATTTAAGTCCATCCCCCAAATTTTATGTGTTGGAAACTTAATCTCCTAACTCATGTCAATGGTGTTTGGAGGTGGGGCCTTTGGAAAGTAACTAGGACTAGATAAGGCTATCAGGGTGGAGTCCCCATGATAGTACTGGTGGCCTAAAGAAGAAGAAGAGGTCAAACATGGTAGCTCATGCCTGTAATCCCAGCACTTCAGGAGGCCAGGGCAGGTGAATCACCTGACGTTGCTAGCTTGAGACCAGCCTGGCCAACATGGTGAAACCCCGTCTCTACTCAAAAAAAAAAAAAAAGAAGAAGACGGCGAAGACGGGCCTGAGCTGACGTGCTCATGCCCGCTCACCATACGATGACCTTCACCATGTTACGACACAGGAGAAAGGTCCCCACAAGAGGCAGCCCCACTGCTCTGCCCTTCCCAGCCCCTAGAACTGTAAGAAATATATCTCTTTTCCTTATAAATTCCCCAGTCTGTGGTATTCTGTATAGCAAGAGAAAATGGACTAAGACCATGTGTATTATTTTAAAGTTTTAAATTTGGGGTAATTAATTTTATTATTATTATTTGTTTTTTGTTTTTTGAGATGGAGTCTTGCTCTATCGCCCAGGCTGGAGTGCAGTGGCATAATCTCGGCTCACTGCAAACTCCGCCTCCCAGCGATTCTCCTGCCCTGCCCTCCTGAGTAGCTGGGATTATAGGTATGCACCACCACACCTGGCTAATTTTTGTATTTTTAGTAGAAACGGGGTTTCACCATGTTGGTCAGGACTGGTCTTGAACTCCCGACCTCATGATCTGCCCGCCTTGGCCTCCCAAAGTGTTGAGATTACAAGCGTGAGCCACTGTACCCGGCCAATTTTGGGTAATTTTTTTTGCAGCAATAGATAACTAATGTACCCAGTCTACTTCTCTCCCCTTGACTAACTTTTTCTTCAGGTCTCAGCTCAGACTCTTCCTCCAACTGGAAGCTTTCCCTGACTCTGTCCAAGACACCTGATGGGTGAGCCCCCCAATTCCTCTCCATGTTCTCTGGCAACACTGCCCAGGCTTTTCCTTAGGGAACCACTCTTCTTCCCTCTGAGTCTGTGTGTGTAAGATGAGGCTGACTCCACCCCAGGCTTGAAGCCTGGCTGCCAGCCTATGCCTGGCCAGTCAGCGCTCTCCAATCCCCTGGAGCCAATGTTTAGGCTGTGACCTAAGCTAGACCCTTGGGGGTCAGCCCAAGAGCCTTTGAAGGAGGTACGGAGAAGAGATCATCTTTATCTGCTGGCATTGCTGAATGGGAAAATATCAGCCTGGAGCTACAGACACATTTTACCAGCATGAGGTGAAGCCTGCCTCAAGATGAAGCCAGCGGAAAAGAGAAGGACCTGGGGACAGGAAGAGACAGATTCCTGATGCAATTGTTGAAGCACCTGGATTCAACTGTGCCTGAAACCCAAATCTACCTCTGGACTTTCGGACTTTAATTTTTTCCCTCCCCTCCCCTCATCTCCCCTCCCCTCCCCTCCTTCTTCGACTTTAATTTTTCCCCTCCCGTCCCCTCCCCCCCACATTCCCTCCCCTCCCCTCCCCTCCTTCTTGGACTTTAATTTTTCCCCTCCCCTCCCCTTCCCCCCATCCCCTCCCCTCCCCTCCCCTCCTCTTCCTTTCCCTCCCCTCCCCTCCCCTCCTTCTTGTCTTTTTCTTTTTTTGTGAGTGCCATAGACAGTGTATGTTGATTTTAGATGATTTCTGTCACTTTCAGCTGAAAGAGTTCAGACCAATTCATCCCCATGGGCAGAATCAGGGACACCCTCCTGGACACCCAGATCCTCTGGTGCCACCCTTACCACTGCAATCATCACAAAAAACTGCACCAGAAATAGGTACCCCTGCCCCTGATTTTTTTGTGATGATATCACACTTTGGCTTACCTCCTCCCTTCTGTCTTGAAATTTGATGTAGATCATGTTCATTTCCACATCCAGAGTACTTGCCTAAAAGAGGTATTCAGTGAATAATGGTATAATGAATAAATAAAAGAAAGAATGAATGAATGAACATATGAGTGTCTTCTAGTTGGTCAGGAGACTTTAATAGAGTGAGAAAAGAGAGTTGTTTCTCCAGAGACCTACCTGCTATGAGATCTAAGTTATACTAAAGTCCTCTCTGAACTGACAAAGGATTGTTATTTTTAAATCTGTCTTCACCCAGACCACAGCTGAACCGGCCACACCCATGGGATACAAACCAATCTCCCGTTACAGAAAAACAAATCTGACCCAGCCATTCTCCGCTTAAAACAACTTTCAGTGACGTTTTTGACAGGAGTGGGTGGAAGGGAGTGAGCATTTGGATTTAGAGAACATTCCGTGTTAAAGAATATTCATTTGCTTATTGACTGACTCATTAGGCAAGCAATGAATTAGCACCTACTATGTGCGGGCACTATACATGTTACTCCATCCTCACAGCAATCTCTTTCTTAGGGCAATGTATTTGTTATCTGTTACTGCCTAACCCATTACCCTAAACCTAGGGGCTAAAACAACAAACATTTGTTATCGCACAGGAATCCAGGTGCAGTCAAGCTGTGGGCCAGGGCCACGGTCACGTCAAGGCTCCACTGGAGCAGAAGGATCCATTTCCAAATTCATTCACAGGGTTGTTGTGAGGCCTTAGTTCAAGCTTGTCCAACCTGTGGTCTGCAGGCCGCCTGTGGCCCACGATGGCTTTGAATGAGTCTCAGGACGGTTTTGAATCTGGCCCAACACAAATTCTTAAACTTTCTTAAAACATTATGAGATTTTTTTTGTGATTTTTATTATTATTATTATTATTTTAGCTCATCAGCTATTGTTCGTGTTAGTGTATTTTATATGTGGCCCAAGACAATTTTTTCTTCTTCCAGTGTGGCCCAGGGAAGCCAAAAGATTGGATACCCCCGCCTTAGAAGAATCATGTGCAAACTCACTCACAGGGGCTTTTCCTTAGGACTGCCTCACAGCACGGAAGCCAGCTTCTCCAGGACGACTGATCCAAGAGACAGCAAGACAGTGTCCAAGACAGAAGTCACCATCTCTTGGCAACCTAATCTCAGAAGCAACATGCTCATCCCTTCTGCCATATTTTGTGCATTAGAAATGAGTCATTAAGTCCAGCCTACACTTGAAGGGAGGAAATTACATAAGGGTATGAATACCAAGAGGGGTGTTAATTGGGGCAATTTCAGTGGCTACTTGCCACAGGTAAGGTATTATTATCCTTCGTTTCATACCTAGACACCCGGCTAGTGTAGCAACTGGTCCAGGTCACCCAGCAGAGAGCGATCTGAGTCCGAAGCGGTTTTCTATTTCCCCAGGCTGGTAGGGGTGTGAGATGGAGGAAGGCAGGGAGAAGTTACTGACAGGAAAAAAAAAAATGAGGATGAAGTCTCTGCTATTTATCTAACTAGCTAAATTAATAACTCTGTTATTTATCTATTATCATTAGCTATGTAATTAATTACCAACAACTTAATTGCTTAAAACAAACATTTATTATCTTATAGTTTCTATGGATCAGGAATTCGGTGACAGCTGAGCTGAGTGGTTCTCAGGGTCTCCTACGAGGCTGTGGGTAAGCTGTGGGCTGGGGGATGCTGCTTTGAAGACCTAACCAGGGCTGAGGCTCTACTTCCAAGAGAGCACATTCACATAGCTGTTGGTGGGAGGCTTCCTTCTTCACCACGAAGACACCTTTATAATCATGCATGAGCTTCTTTAGGACAGGGCTTCCCCCAGAACAGGTGATTCAAGAGCAGATAAGCAAAGCCTGAGTGTCTTTTGTGACGTCGCCTCAGGAGTCATAACTGTGATTTCTGCAACATCCTGTTGTTTACACAGGATAGGTCAGCCCTATTCTTTGTGGGAGGTGATCACAGAAGGGCATGGGAATACCAGGAGATCAGGATCACTGGAGGTTGGCTATTTACCACAGGATTCCACAAGGTTGATAATCTGAAAACTTAACTTTTATCGCTGCTTCCCTGCTCAAAGAGACCCAGAGTCTTCCCACGTACTGCAGCACACAATCTGATTTTCTTAGCTCCATCTCCCACTGGCTCCTGAGTGGATGGACTGTCTGTGACTGACAGCCTGGTCTGCTCACAGACCTCACCAGTCCCACAGCCGAGGCCCTTGTTGATACCTCCTCCCCAATCTCTGTTCTGTGGGAAGGCCTGGCTCCCCGGGAAGCCTCCATTCAGCATTCAAAGCATAGTTAGTTCACCCCCAGCATCTGCAGGCTCTGGCTGGATGCTAGGATGTGATGGTGATACCACCTTCTCTCAGGGAACTTTCGCTCAGATGGAGAGGCAGTTCCCAGCGAATTAATAATAAACGAATCACACATCATGCCAAGCTCTCCCAGGGAAACCTACAGGGTACCATGGGATTATATAATAGGGGACTGGCCTAGCCCATGAGCACTGGAGCAGTCGAGTAGCCAACCAGGCTGCATAGGAGTATCAGCATTGGGTTTAGTGTTAAGTGTCTGAAAATGCAAAATAACTATAGCTTAAGTAAGACAGATGTTTATTTCTCTTGGGCAGGTGTTTGAGGTGCCACTCAGAGACAGGGACTCAGGTTCTTTCTGTCTTGTTGCTCTGCTGTGTGGTCTCTATCTTATGGTCCAGGATGATGACACCTACATTCCTGGCAGCCAGATGGGGAAAAGGACACAGAGGGTAAAGCAGACATACCAACTATCCCAGACTATGAAATGAGTGGAAAAGTGAAGGAGTCTGATTGATTTGACTTGTTTTCATAAGCATTAATGGAAGCATTAAATTGATGTGTATGAGTGCAACAGAATCTGTTGTAATTTCTCTTTAAATAAAGCTGCCTTTGGGGAAAACAAGACACTGCCCTTCACTTTTCAATGCCACCTCTAGCTACAAAGGAAGCTGAGAAATGTAACTTTCTTTTTTTGTTTTGAGACGGTGTTTCACTCTTACTGCCCAGGCTGGAGTGCAGTGGCACGATCTTCGCTCACTGCAACCTCCACCTCCCGGGTTCAAGCGATCCTCCTGCCTCAGCCTCCCAAGTAGCTGGGTTTATAGGCATGTACCACCACACCTGGCTAATTTTGCATTTTTAGTAAAGATGGGGTTTCACTATGTTGGTAAGGCTGGTCTCGAACTCCTGACCCCAGGTGATCCACCCACCTCGACCTCTCAAAGTGCTGGGATTACAGGCGTGAGCCACGGCACCCTGCCTGGAAATGCAATTTTCTTTCTTTTTTTTTTTCAAGATGGGGTTTCACCATGATGGCCAGGCTGGTCTTGAACTCCTGACCTCAGGTGATCCACCCACCTCGGCCTCCCAAAGTGCTAGGATTACAGGCATAAGCCACCATGCCCGGCCAGAAATGCAATTTTCATTGCTAGCACCCACATGCCCAGCCAAAAGTTGGGAGCTCCATCCCCACTCAGAAACAGCAATGATAGTCAACCCTGTCTTGCACTTACTCTGTGCCAGGCATTTGCTGACCTTGGAGATCATCCCAAATACACACTTGATTCAGTAGGTCTGGGCTGGGGACAAGAGTCTGTCCTGTGATGGCCATGTGGCTGGTCTGTGGGTCATATTTTGAGGAGGGAGGATGAGAGGTCAAAGGTCCATCATTGCATGGTTTTCTCCCACACAGGGCCAAGGAAAGGCCATTTGGAAGCAGGGGTGCTCAAAGCCCCGTAACTCTCTCTGCTGACCCCAGGTTTCCAGTTCAGGCTGAGATTTCCTTCTCTCCCCTAACCGTATCAGACTACTTGTTGAGTGAGTCAGTGAGTGAATGAATGAATGAATGGAAAGGGAATGAAAGAATGAATGAATGGAAAAGGAATGCAGAGGTCAGGTCGGGCATATGCTCCAGGGAAAGGGTTTGGTTCACCACACCACTCTACCCCAGGCCCGGTGCTGGTGCTGTCCCTTCCGAATCCTCCCCGAGAAACAAGCACTGCAGTTCCCCTCTATTTACACAGGAAGAAACTGTCCACTGGCTCTGCTTTTTGAACCCCAGCCCTCATCATCCTCTGCCGGGTTTTTTCAAGGCCTGTGTCACCACAGCCTTGGAGAAGGGGCCAGTGACAGAGCCTGAGGGAAGTTCAGAGTGAGTTTCCCCTACTCAGGTCTTGTGTGACCTCAACTACCATCTCCTCGAATCCAGCAGTTATGGAGGCAGCTGCTCCGTATCGCTAAGGAGGAAACTGAGGCTCAAAGAAGGGGACAGTTGGCATAGTCCACCTTGCCCAAGTCACAGTGCAGGCCCCATCTGCCTCTGCGACAACCCAGCATGTGCTGGATGGACCTGGCTCGGAGCAGGCGCTCTGTGAATACGCACCAGAGTGAACCGCAGGGCAGATGGAAGCAAGGACGGCCCCCGCCAGCCTCGATGGCTTCAGGTGCTGCCACCGTGCTAAGCCAGTCTCCTGTTTCTCAGCTGGAGAAAACCTCCCTCAAGTAGATATGGTCGTCCTCTTTGTGCAGATGTGCAAAGGGGTGGGTGGCTCCAAGAAGCCCAGTGGCTTTCCCAGAGAGGCACAGCAGAGGTGGAGGTGGTCACCTTGTCAGGTGTAGGACTCCCTTCCCCCACAGTCTTAGGCCATCACTCAGAGCTAGACGCTGTGCACAGCCAAAGTCTATCACCCCCACTCAATCACAGTTCAGTGAAACTGTTTAAAAATGCCAAAAACAAAAAAACAAAACAAAAAAAAAACGGTGCTCGGAGAGGCAGAGAATTTGTCCGAGGACATCCAAAGAGGCGGAGAAGGAAATCTAAGTGGGAGGTTTGAAGGGACAAGTACTGGAGCTTCGGGGACTCCCTTCCCCTCAGACAGCCTCGACCCTCCGCCCCTTCCCTGCCGGCCCCCGGGCCCCTTTAACCGGGTGGCGGAAGGGGCGGCCGGGCGGGCGGCGCCCAATGGGCTGCGCGGAGCGTCACTTCCCGGCGGCGGGAGGCGAGTGGCGAGTGGCGAGTGTCGGGGGGCGGCCGGCGGGGGCGGGACGGCCGGAGGAGGCGTTGGCAGCGGGCTCGGACCCACGCGGCGCCGCGGCCGGCCTGGCCTGCAGCGCTCCCACCCCCGGCGGCGGCGGCACGATGCCCTTTGACTTCAGGAGGTGAGTGTGGCGACCTCGGCCACTCGGGAGTCCCCTCTGCGGGCAGAGGGAGCACCCCGGCACGCGGCGGACCCCTCCCGCCCTGCATGCAAAAGCGGCCCCCAGCCCTGTGCATGCCTCGGCAGGCCCCTAGGGACCCCAGGCGAGCCCCCTGCCGCACACGAAGCCAGCCAGAGCCGCGAAGGCCCCCTCCTGCAGCGGGAGACAAATCCACCCACCTTCCCTCCGCCGAGCCCCCTCCCCAACCTGCCCGGATATCTTGCATTCCCCTCCCCCACACTAGGAAACAGATTTCCAGCCCCCTCCCCTCCCCGATGGAAACAGCCCTTCCACCCCAGCATCCTTCTCCCTCTACAGAGCCTCTTTGGTGGACCCCACCCCAGCTGACAGGTGGGGCAGGGCCCCTGAAATGAACCCGGAGGGGCCTGGAGCCCCATGCAGCCTGGCAGCAGCTGGAGGGTTTTAGGTTTCTACAGCCTGAGGCTCTCCCAGGCCGGGCAGATCAGGAGGCCTGCCCACCCCCCGACCCCTAGCACCAGCCCTGCCCTCTGGATATGGGGGCACCATGGGAAGGGGAGGAGACGCCTTGGGCAGGGCTCTGCAGAGGGACCACGGGGGCTGGCCTTGGCTTTCTGCAGTCACCACAATAAGTCCTTTGTGGGGT